CATATCGGCCTGCCGGGTGAGTATTTGGGCACTTGGTAATAGGGTCGATGATGGATGCAAAATATACAGTACCATTTCCTTAATATTTACTATTTATTGTATATAATAGTGTATATTAATACCACTATAAAAAATAGAAACTATATTGTTTTTATTTTCCATCTCACTATGTTCACTATTTTCTATTTTCGGATAGTTTTATCAGCAACACATTATTATTATTTTTTTAAATAAAATAGGTTCCAGAATACAGGGTGCAACGAAAAGACTCTCGACTTTGAACTCGCTCTTACCTGGAGATATCATATTTTAGTGAAACAAGTGCAGTCTCGAGTCAAATTTCTCATCGTTCAGCGAGGACAAGTTAGCGGCTACGGAAAGCGGACTTTTTTTTCCGTGGGAGACGAATCTCCGAAATCTGTGGAAAATCTCTGAAAGGGCATCTAGAATGCAAAGGAGACGTCTGAGACGGTGTGATAATCGTGTTTCATCGGCCCCAACAAATTTCAGGAATTTTATCGATGACTCAAAATTCTCCGAATTTGAGGATGATCTCGGTACATTTCAGCTCGTCGTGCCTCGTGGAACTGTTGGGTGATTCCTCGGGATGATGCTTCAGGTGATTCCTCGGGGTGATGCCTGTCACCCGTCGCAATCTCCCGTTTTTCCCCGCGACTGTTAATGAAGTCTGAGAGTTGTGATTTCCGTTTCGATCGTTGCCTGACTATCATTTTGTTCTTTTTGGTGCGTTCGTAAATCCTTTTGCGATCTGCCCGAGAGTACGAAACACGAGACAGGTTAGTTTCAGTAAAGCAGGAAGATAAATAAGGAAAAGAAACAAAGTGCACGGAGGAGAAAGGACATGTCGCCATGGTATTAAGCGAGTTTCCTGGAAGTCCCACCTACCTTCATCCGGCTCATCCTGTTACAGACGATAGACGTCATCCCTCGAGGAGATATCAAGGATATATCATCGATAACCGAAGACGACATCCCTTCTTCGCGGCTTGTCCTCGCTCATCTCTCTCCTTCCTCGACAACCCCCTCCACTTTCCCCCTCCAATAACCGGTATTTATGCGAACGGCTGGACGCTTCTCGCTCTCTGTGCACTTACATCGATGCACTTACATCAGTGCACTTACATCGAAGCGATCCCAAATGGAATTTTAGTGTGATGCACGATGCCCATGCCCTCTGCTCCGTTCGAATCAGGATGCGACGGGGCGAGCCTCTTCCCTTTATCATCGTTTTCAATCTCCCTTCTGAGGTTACGAGGGGCACGAGAGAAATTCCCGGATTAAAACGATCCAGAAAATGGAATAATGTATTCATTGACTCGATTTTGTAGCTTATTCATACGTGGCTCTGAGGCATACAAATTTCAGCCATCAATCGGGCAAAATTTTAAAGCCACCAGCAAGCCAGTCCTCAGGTGGATCTCATTAGATAATTATTGACCCAGCATATATTTTTGCCTACATATACAGGGTGGGGCAGAAGTCGCACACCATTGGGGATTTCACCGTTCCGCTAAATTTATTCTTGTTTCTTTCTTTGTAGGTAAGTGATGGCAGCGAAATAACAAAAGACGAGAGGGTAGTGCAGATATGTTCAAACATCAAATATAAATAAATAATGGCAAACGATTCGAACATTTACTGCAATTTACCCTATGGTGCGCGACTTTTGCGCCACCGTAATACCATAACACGCTTGATGAGGTGGTTTTCATACCAAATGCCCTCAGTATACTCGTGTTGACACATTCTTTCCTTACATGATAAACTACCGGTCAGAAACGCAATTGTCCAAGTATACCTGACTTCGTGCGACCTGACACGAGGCTCCCAAATGCATCTTACCTCAATTCGGTGGATTATTAAGTAAGGAAAGATTGTGTGAACACGTGTATACTGAGGCTATTCGGGATGAAAACCACCTCATTGAGCGTGTTAATGAAGCTTGGTAACTCCTGGATCAAGCCGAATTAACAGAGCGATCGATTTGTTCAGATGGCGAGTTGTGATGTGCATTGATCAAGATGGGGGACACTTGAAAATTTTCTGTAATTGCTGAAGATTTATTGCTCAAATTAAATATACATTTTTGACATGAAGCAAAGCTCTATGTAGAGTTTCACTGTTATTTTATTTCATCTAGTTACCACTAGATGAAATAAAATACCAAATAAAATTTAATCGATGTCTTTGGGATCCAAGATTTTTTTTGGACCACCCTGTATATACAATTATACCCGGCAGTCTAAAAAAAAAAGAAGACACGCTGAATTTTGTAAAAGTCTTCTTCTTCGCCAAAAACTGACGTTGCTCTTTGCTTCCACGTCGAGTCTTCATCAGTGTGTCCAAATGAATTGGATTGAAAATGGCTCGACAAGAAATGAGATACACGCAAACGTTTGCACTAATTAACGTGACTGCCGCAGAACATCATCTCAGCCAGAAAATTAGTTGGGCTTCAAGAGGAACTAACGCTAGAAAAGGAGTCCGGAAACTTTTGAATAGCCCTTAGTAGATGTTCCTGATTTCTTCTCGTGCTGCTGTTACGATCGAGTTGGAAAAATCAACCACGCTCCACCTTATCGATCCGCTTAATGACGTTTGACGCGTGGATGAGATCCCCCTCCCCCTTCCCCTTTCCCCCCTTCTCCTTCTTCCTCCTCCCCCCCTCCTTCTCCTTCCCTCCCCATCTCTCCCCCCTTCTTTACGCTAACGTTCTCTCCAGCGAATGGAGTGAGAAGGCGCGTAGACTCGCATGTCTCCCGTTCTTCAGCCGGCATTCTCGCGGAGATTGCGCTCGGTGGGAAATCGTTGAGCCACCGAGGCTCTAAAGACATCTTCCATTGATTGCTCGAAGGACACGTGGGTCATTCCATTTCCTATCGGAAAAAAATTGGTTCGTCGACCGACACCGATTCTTCTGATTTTTTTGTGATAGGTATTTCTGATAGGAGTCGCTTATCTTTTCTCCCAAATATTTCAGACGATTAGTATAAGCTGTAGAATTTATATTTTTGAGGAGCGGGGTCTACTTCGGCAGAGGTCGGTTTCCCTGGAAGGCTTGTTTCTGTAAAGATTTGCAATGGTAGCAATTTCATGATGGTCTCATTTCAAAAAGTAGACCAAGGGAATTCTGAAAATGGTTTTATAGTTGAAGAGCAGTGATAAAGAAAATAGGCTCTGTGAAACTGACCTTTTTTTTTGGCAAAGAGTGACACTTACCAACCAATCATTGTAAATGTTAATTTGCCGAAACCGCAGTAATGCATGTGCCATTAGCACTGTGCTTCCAACCTCTCTCTGACAAATATTTGGGCTATTTTTTAAATATGTAATTCTTTTTTTTTTCGCAAATAACCACATTTTGAAAATTGTGAAATTGCCAAAATCGTCTTGCCAGTCCTACGGTCTGCTTGATCTGACTGTCATGAAAACAACCCTCACTGATTTTCCTTAAGATATTCTTTAAAAATTTTCAGGGCATCATTCTGAATATGAATTATTTTTATTGATAAACTGAACCCATGTCCTCTTGGCAATATTCTTACTCACAAGCTTTGCAGATTTTCGTTCAACATTTGATAGTAAACCCAATGTCCAAATTTCGCGAAATGCCACGAACATGGCTCAACATAAGCTTTTTGAGCAGGAGTACCAAAGTCTTGGATAGGTCCAACTACAGTGGTCTAAAAAAAATCTTACCATCCAAGGAACAGTTATTTTATTTTCTTTATTTTCGTTATCATGCCGAAATGAAAATTTCCCAAAACGTTAAGCTCCCCCCCTTGAAAATCGCACAAAAATCGATCGTATCTAAAGCGAGAATGTAGAAAAACAAAATCCACAAGTTGAAAATTCAGTTATGCGAACTCGTCGATGATCAGCAAAAGTACATATCAGTCCCAAAAATCGAGTGCAGAAAGGACTCAGTTATGGAAAACGTTATAAAACGTCTTAATTAAATTTTCGAGTCTCATTTTCAGTCTCTCGTGTCTCGCTTCAAAATTCATCGGCTTTTGCTTATTAACAAAAGAGAGCTTAATTTTGCCTCTAACTGCCTAATAATTTTTTTCAGTTCTGAGTAATACGTTAATCATGCATTGGTAACTTTTCAATTAGAAACCTTTGGTTTCCCCTCAAATCACAACTTTCTGCGACTGGAAAATGGAGCTGTTAGGTCAAAATGAGTTATTTCAACGTTTGATAATCGTGGAATGAATTCGCCTCATTTTTCTGTCACGTTCATATGGGCTGAGCCCTTTCCACGACACTGGAATTTCGCAAATATCTTCAAGAAAACTCTAATTACGCCAGGTCCGCAATGACGTGCCAATGTGCATCGGGGAGATCCACAAGCGAAAATGAGAACGTTGGCCAAGTGCTTAAAACTTGAGATATGACGACACCGTTCGAAGGTAAGAAATGATCTTAAACCTCAGATCGTGAAAAAAGCCGAACAAGACTGAAAAAATGCAGTTAATAGCACAGGAATGGACGAAAGTAGTTAAAACGTTCACTATCATGCGCCCCATAACTTTGACAATACATTGTATTTTATTAAATGTGATTTTAATTAATATCAAGGAGGGATGATGAAATTCAGCGGCATGGGCTAAAGGTTCTTTTTAAGCAGGTGTCAAAACTTATCTGCCCAAACTGGCTTTTCAGGGTCGCAAAAGCGTGGTAAATTCCAAAACTTCTTGTAGACATACTGGTCAAGGCCAGTGATAATGTAGGGCAAGGGGATGCCATGAGGGAACGTTCCTAGCCATGAACTGCTCCTACTTCTACCGTATGAAACGGAATACCGAATGAATGAAATGGAATGGTTCTTCACAAGCAGAATGTCTGTTGGTGTCTCTAAAAAGGGACCAGTTTTTTACACAAACTCCAGAGAAACTTTCAATCCAAATCACTTCCAGTGTGCATCATGTGGCTAAAAGGGATCTTCATGTGCAGTAGGAGAATATGAACTCAAGAAATTTTATTGTAAAGACTGAAGCTTTATTAGACAAGTTGTCACTTCCTTACATACAGTAGTAATGACAAATAAGTACCAGCTGACTGCATATAGAAGATGCGTCTATGTATAATGAATGTATATCTACACGAATTCCCTTGGTTCATTTCCGTACATCCACGGATCTTGATCAGAGCAGCAGAGGAACAGAGAACAGCAAGAAAATTAAAAAAAGTAACTCAAATGAAAAGAGAAGGCAAAAAGCCACCTTGGGAAAATATGTGACTGGAGGTGACCTAAAGCCAGCATGAATGAGCATGACATCTCACATTATCAATCAATCCAACCCCTGATCACTTTGAAAAATCAAATAAATATTTGGCAAGAGAAAACAAACAAGCTATGCACCTAATGCGAGATGAAGAAAGAGCCAAAACAGAAAAAATCACAATGGAAACATATCCATCTACAAGATACTGAATCCAAGCACAGGAACATTTTAAAATTTTCTTGCTTTTTAGGTCTGAGTGGGTGGGACACGGTGCAGAGGCAGCTTTAGCAGCAAACGACACAGCAGAGATGAGGCTTTAGCATGGTGCGGGAGCCACGAGCCCTTTTCATTCCATCTGTGCCATTCCCCAAGTCTGTTGATGGCAGGAGAATGGACAATGTGGGGTAGAAGGCACAGGACAGAAGAAGTGGCTCCCGGGCCAATGCCTGGCCTCAAGCAAATTCCTTGCCCTTTACACAGGTGACCTTTGTTTCTGGAGGAAGACAGCAAAAGCCTGTCGGATCAAGGGGGAGATGGAGTACGAAAGCAAGGATAACAGAAAGAGGATGCTGGATAGATCTCTCGCTCACTCTCACAAAACAAGGCAATGGCTTCTTAGTTTTTTCTTTCTTTTTTTTTCGCAGGATGAGAAAAATGTGGCAGTTTTGAGAGATTGGCCGATGCCGAGGAACGAATATCTGCACATACGCTCCTCGTATGAAGAAAGAGAGAAGAAACAAGTCTCCCTCTTCATGATCTCACTTTAATTGATAGCTCACTCTCACACCAACCCAATGAGGAGGGAAGAGAGAAGTCTCCCCTTCAACAGACTCACCTAAGCACACACGAGAAGTAAACCCAGCATCACCATCATCACAAGTGCTTGAAACTTTTTGAGGGAGAGGCAAGGTCTTTTTTCAGGGGAAAGAATGTAAAGCCAGTTGATACTCATATCCTGGAATACTATGACAGAATCATCTCTGTCTCCCTCTTTTAGAGAATTTTTTTTCCTGTTTTCTCTCCACACTAGACACAAAGAACACACATGTGGTCCCAAGAAGAAATCGATCGACAGTGTTGGTTTTTCCGCAGCATACCAGTGGAAAAAATGTTGCTCTTTCATCCGCTCTCGCTCGGGACAAATTTTGTCTCATCAACTGAGTCTCCTTTTTTTTTTTGGTCTTGCTAGGCTATGTAGATTCCATGACAGAAGGAGAGGAAACAAAGACCAGTACTGAGACCAGACCAGGCAAAGCAGTACACAGCAGCGATGGAACTGGACAGACGGATTGGCAGAGGAGAGAATAAGGAACTCAATCAAACTCCCTCACATACACTTGGTTGAAGTCAGTCAGAGTTTCTCTCTCACATGCACAGACAGAGAGGGATGGCACAAAACAATCTGTCTTTCTCTCTCTCCCATACTTAACGCAATAGTGACTTTTTTGTGGTATGTAATAGGAAAACCATCCTGTCTGTCTCCTCGTTTTCACTCGGAATGAACCAGACGATGGTGAACATGCGATGCACACATGCATGTTGCACGAACAGCACACAAAGCACACACGTGTCTCATAACTCGTCTTGTGCTGCACTGTCATCGCTGTCACATCAGGTCCATCATTGGAGGATATCTGGGAGGCTGAATCTAGTTCCAGATTTTGAGGAAGGAATCCCAGGAGCCTGTGCACACAGCCATTCCATCCTCTGTTACCCCCAGGCAACTCACTCGGTTATCATGCCCAGCTAACACACCTGAAACAGCAATACAAGTCATCAGTAACTTTTTCTAACTCAAATAAACCAGTGCCAAAAGCTGCATAAAAATAATATTATTGACAACACTCTGGCTTTTTGTATTGCTCTTTTTCATATCAGCTTCTTCAGCTTTCACTTTAAGGATCAGCAACTAAGAATACTGGAATTTTCCTGAGGAAAGAGAGCTGTATGTTAGCATCAGCATTAGCTTTTGTGGTAGGTAAGAACTTGAACTCTGGATACTTCATGTCATCACAGAGGCTATCATCAAATATTCCAATTTTTTTTACACAAATGTGACACTACTATCTGTCAGAACTGTTGGATTAAGGGATTCAGATGCAATTTTTGCTTGAGTGGTGGGTATATTCACCTCATAAATCACCTTTACACAGTAGCCATCTTGAATACTGGAATATTTTGCCAAATATGCACTTCATCTTATGATAGAAATATCTCCTAAATCATTCTCCTTTCTCCTCCAGCAAGAAAGATTTTTCCTTCTTAAAAAATCCTTATATTACCTGTCAGACAAGGTAAGGGGTAAGTGACAGCTAATGGGGTCTAAATAACAGATCACAGAGTAAGCCTTTTTTTGTTTGTTATATTTGGATCAAGGCATATGGAGGATGATTATGATGCCAACTAGCTATCAAAATGATGGTATAGTAATTAATGACTTCAGTCATATACACCAACCAATAAATTTGATTAATCAAAATATGATTTACAATTTCCATGATAAATAAATCATTAGGAGAAACATGAAAGGCAGATAGATAGAGTAGAAGGGAAGGGTAGTGCGTGGGGGGAAGACACACCAGCACGTTCGGCGCGAAGGGAATCCCAGACGTTGCAGTTGAAATCATCATAGCCAGCAAGTAGGAGACGACCAGACTTGGAGAAAGCGACAGATGTGATGCCGCAGATGATGTTGTCATGTGAATACATTGCCAACTCCTGGTCTGCTCTGATGTCAAACAGCCGGCAGGTTGCATCATCTGAGCCCGTTGCAAATGCACACCCATTTGGGAAGAACTGCAATGGAAGAGAATGGATACCAATCCAATCATCAGCACAATCAAAGTGATGAGAAGTGAATTTGCTATATGAAACTCACAGTAACAGCATTGATGTCTGACTCATGTCCTGGGAATGTTTGCCTACACATCCCATCTCGTATATCCCATAACTGCAACCAAAGAGAAATGGATGACATCATCAAACCTGTTCAGTAGAATATTCCCAAAAACCTAACTACAATCAAACTAATATATTTCAAGAAAAAGGGTTGAAGAGAAAATAGGACCTAATCATAGGAAATCAAAGTGGGTGATAGGGTAGGGGTGTACACAATACAAGTATCAGTTTTTCTCAACAAATCTGATAAGTGGAGTTTGGGCAGTTGAATACTTGAACCAGTCAGCACCTCCCTGTTTCTCCTGTCCTTGCAGATCATGAAGTTTTTATCTGAAGTCCTAATGTAAGCCTGAGTCTATGTTTAGTTTTACATTTCAACCTATTCTTTGGCTCAATGCCAATGAATGCATGAATTTGAGTCCTTGATTCCATGCCTTTGTGAAATCTGAATCTAATTATTATCCAACTCCAAATCTATAGGTAAATATTTGCTCTCTCTTGATGTGACAGTAAGGCTTTGGTGCTTCCATGACAGGTCATGGTGATGATCATGTTAGACACCTTGCTCTTTGATTCACTCTTGGAATTGTATCTCTCCAGGTACTGAATTGTGAAATCCTGTTTTTAAAAAATAAATTTCTTCTTAGAGTTCCTTTGGTTGAGACACTTCTTTCTGTATTTCACAGAAGAAAGTAGCACCACTCAAAAACTAATGTATGTGTATTGCAGTTCTACATTGGAGGAATACAAAAATTAAACCTCCATGTAACTTGATAGATGATCAAAAGTTGTTGTAGGTCTGCAACTCAGGTACATTTAGTAGAATAGGTTAACCCTATAAGTGAGTCTTTGTAATTGTGTCCTTTAAGTAAGATGATCACTGCTTTCCAAATAGGCTTGGCTACAACCATGTTCCTTGGATGTGTAACATCCCATGGAAGTACAATTTTTGAAAAATTCTGGAGGTCCAGGAGAGCAAGTCAAAGTTGGGTGAATATGTGTAAACCCATAAATTCTTCTGAATTTAATTTTCCTTCTGAATGACAAAACTTAAGCAACAATGACCAGGTTTCTAGTTGCAATACCCAAAACTGCACTGTGAGCCTTTCATTTGACACTCTTCCAAAAGATAATAGAGAACATGCACTTCTAAATCCTATAAATGAAGTCAAATTTACTTTTACATTCAGTGAAAGGAACACTGGGAATATGTAAATGAAAACAATTATCAAAAAGTTGTTGGGTTTTTAGGGGTATTTAGATATTTAAAAGGTATTTTCTAATGAGTCATAAGCAAATGTTATCCAAAATATAAATCCAAGAGAGATTTTGAACTGAGATGCCATATATGAGTACTAAAAAAATAGTTGGTGAAAGAAAAACCTTGGCAGAAGCATCACAGGCTCCTGAGACAAAAGTCCTCATATCAGGGGATAGGGAGAGAGACATCACATCCCCTGTATGCCCGGTGAAGGATGTTGTCTGCTGTCCTGTCTCTATGTCCCATAGACCACTAAACAAAAAAAACAAAAAAATACATATATATATATATATATATATTTTTAGATATACATTTATTTAGATATACATTTTTTCTGTCACCCTTGAAGATTCTTAAATCTCTTCAAGAATTGGACTCATAGAGGAGTGAAGACTCACCAAGACATGTCTCCTGAACTGGTGACGATCTGATTATCATCAAGGAACCGACAACAACTCAGGTATCCCGTATGCCCAGGCAGTTCTCGACTCACCCTCACATTCCCTTCCCGAGTTTTCAGGCTGCAAAGAAAAACAGCAAAATGTGAGTATAAACCATACAAGAAGCAGCAGAGAAATCTTGTGCAGAGGATGCTACCTATAGATGGAGCATATGTTGTCAAGGCCACCACAGGCGACATAACTGCCGGAAGGGGCATAGGCACAGGTCATGACCCAACTGGAGCGTAGAGGGATGGCATGCACCTTGTTCGTCGTATATGAGTCCCACACGATGAGCTTCCCATCCTGTGACGCCGACACCAAGTTCCTGCAATCACCACAATTCCTTTGGTGGATGTTGAAATCATGTTTCTGATGGGACATGGTAAGTTTTTGTCGGAGAAGGTATTTCAGGCAGTTCAAGGAAGCATTGAATAAAAAAAAGACATGAACACTGATAACTTATAAATTTCCCTAAAGTTTTCACTCCACTGAAAAATACTCATCCATAGAGAATCTTTCATCTCCAACCTTTGGCTGTATGACTGAATATAAGAATGCCATGGGATGGCTGTCCATGACATTTTTTTTTTTTTTTTTGGTATTCAAATATTTTCATGGAAATTATCCATGCTGATAACAGGCTTTTTTTTTGTCATGGTTCACTCTGTGCAAAACATCAAAGCACTTGTCAATACAATCACTTGACACATAAAATTTACTGAATCAATAAGCAAGGGACCATCATGTAACTAATAGCAACAAGAAGCATGTATGGCAGGATCATAATATGTCTTATTAGCACTAAGCTAATGTTAGCTTAGTGCTAATAAGTATTGTTAGCTTCTCTATGATTTGGCTGCATCAAAGATCTATTTGAAATCTGCATGTCATAATTGCTCTGAAGACAGCAGTTAGTACAATTGTACACAAGGTTAATTCTTAGCCAGTGTAGGGTACTATTATCAATACATTCAAAATACAACTACTTATTAGTAACGGGAGCCATAAATAATTAAAAAAGGCAGCTGATTGATAGCTTTGCAAAACCAAGCAGAGTACCAAAGTCAAAAGGGTGATTTTCCAACATCACTACTTAGACTTACTAGTTTTTTTTTTTCCTGTAGACATACATGTAGTGGAGACAAAATACAAAGGATGGATTTCAATTACATTACACAAAAACGAAAGGAGACCAGCTTGGTACAGGTACAATATGAGACACCGCAGTACCTCAGGACCCCACTTTAGTGCCCCTGATGGAGACCTACTGGCAGTAGTCTTAGGTTGCCAAAGTCCATGAATGGCACAAATGGTTTTTAAGGTGTAAAGCACCTGCATCTCATTGATGTAGTACATGGGATGGTATGTGCCTTACCCTGGTGTTAGGCAAATATTCTCCAGAAAGCAGGTGGGTCCCCAGACAATAGAGAACTTACTGCTGTCTGAATTCAATCCCCTGTTTCCTAGGTTTGATTTAGAAGCCTGAACTATGAAGTGGTCTTATTCCTGTGACTTTGAAATTACTCAGAAATAATCTCCTCCTTCCCATTTCTCATGTTTCGTTTGCAGCCCAGCAATATCATCAGGACATATTATGGCTGCTGATTCAGAAACATAAGCTACCATGTCACACAGGAAGGGCAATTACATTTTTAGTTCTTCCTTGAAGTAATATGCTGTGAGGCTACCATGCAAGGAAACACTCACTCCAACCCCATTACCTTCTCAAATGAATCTAGCAAAGGTAAAGCAGTGGGAAAATTAAGGAAAAAAATTGGCATGAGTAATCTTGATCATACATCATTAAATGTCAAATTAATACTTGTTACTCATATACATTCAATGACTTTTTAAGCAGATCCCAATAACATAAGAAGCACTCAGTTATTCATCAGCATAGTTCAAGCAAGAAACCCAAGCACCAAATGCAATGCATGAGCAATGTGGTTGTTTAGTTCTCTGGTGAAACGTACATGCTTTCCTACCTTGCAGCATACCTATGAAAATTTTAATAAGTATCACACAATTTTAAGAGGGAAGCTTTGATCTTGAAAAGTACTTCACATTCACCTAATAGCAAATAATTGATATAAACTTGTAACAGAAAATTAACTTGGTAAAATTTGGCATCTTCCTTCTTGCCAGAGAGGACTCTCTATTTAAATAGTGTTTCTCTAGTCATTTTCCAGAAGCAAGTTCATCAGGTTACCTCAATTTCCAGCAAAATCTACATAATTGCTTAATTTTACTTATTCCAGCTCAAGCCTTAGAAAGATAACTGAGTTAGTCTGTTACTAAACTGAAGAAGGAACCCTCATTTCTCTCCAAATATGCTGGATAGAACCAGCTACAAAAACTCACACTACCTTGGAGTCAGAAATATTACAATTTGGTTGACTTTAGCATCCTTAACCTTCTGCAACAGGAAATTATAGTAACGAAAAATACAATCATATACCCACAACCTTGTTCTAACAAAAAAAAAAGATTCTGGAGTTACAGTAGCCTGCAATCATGAAAGGCTTCAGATTCAAAGCCACAAAGTAGTGTCAAATGAGAGTGATTCTGTGTTCCTTTCCTTTATGGTGCTTACTGAATCACTTTCATTATTATATATTGTACATGCCCTTAACCTAGGTTTATTTTGATATACCCAACAGCATCTTTGCCTGCTGGATCATTTCATACAAGCTGACTGGGTGAGAGTATCACAATCATATCAGCAAAGTTTAGGCCTCTGACCTGAATGGCTCTTGAGCAATGCCCCCTACAAATTTTTTGTCAAAGCCAACTATTTCCTCAGGTAAAATTAATTTCTCATGAACCAATGTCTAGAAAGGCATGCAATACCCATAATGAAAGCTCCTGGATCAGATCAACCTCATGAGATCTCCAATTCTATCTTTCAAGCCCTCATGAGATCTCCAATTCTATCTTTCAAGAAAATGCATTTAAACTGAATGCTTTCTTACACTTTTGTAATACCTTGACCTCTGGCTCATCAGGGATGAACAAATACCACAAAAAAGGAGTCAAGGCCTAGACTGAATTCATGATGTAACTCTCATTGAATATTCTAAATTCCAATCTTCTTATATTAATGAACTTCCCTTTGACTTCTGAGCATTATAACTTAGGGTTACCCTGTATGTCATCAGACATTCTTCACTTCTAGGATATAAGTTTCCCAGGTTATAACATGTAGAGAAGAAAGAAAAATTACCCTTTGCTTGAGCTAATGTCCAAGAAAACAATTCCCTCCCATCCCTCATCCATACTGCTAATAGTAGGGATTGAATCTAAAAAAAAAAAGTATGAAGGCTCTACTTTCCCTGCAAATGGTATCATTTCAATTTGAATCCTTGCATGCTGTATTCGCATTTGGTAAAAGCTATGTTCCAGAACAAGACAAATATCTAAGCCCTTAAGGAACCTTACACAGTAGCCTTCAACTGTGAAGTGTTAAGAATGTTTAAAGATGAATGATTGAAACATTTCTATGACTAACCTACCTAATGATGAGAGCAGCATTCCCTCCATCTCCCTGACTGATTTATGTGCTTACTGCTTATGACTCTCCCCTTGCCTGATTACTATGCAGTTATATCGCACATTCATTAATATCTGCACATTTGCAAATGAAGTAAGGACTTTCTCCACTTAGCAGTTGAATTGACAAGCTAGTTTACCTTGTTTTCAACTGGCACACTTATTTTCAAATTATGTCAATAAATTTCAAAACAAGGTAAAAAAATTTTATACTAGCATGTCCCAAAATGCAGGGCAATTAATTAGCAGCTTTCCTAGGAAATGGGCAAGGATACAGACTCCATAAACTGAGATCAGCTGCATTAGATCAAGCTGTTACCACTGTGCAGTAAAAAAAAAATAATATACAACATTCTTGAAGATTGTAAAATAAATATAAGGAAGCTTATATCACTGAGAGGAGCATGAAAGGTGCTTTTACTTGATGCATGAAATCTAGCTATACATGTCCCCAACAACCCCCTATCTGGAAAATCAATAATTTAATTGAAATATGGTTAGTACCAGTCAGATTGTGAACTTGCCATGTTTTCTATTACTCAACCAATTATAGCAAATCATTCATGAATAGCAGGAAAGGAACTTTATGAAAAGACTGGATATAACAGCTGCCACGTGTTATCCACAATCTGCTAATGGATGATTTCCTCATAAGGAGGTTCTACATGAGTGGACAGTTCAAGAAGTTTGTTGATATGTTCTGACTCAGGCAATGTTAATGGCTTTTCATACACTGTCATTTGATAATTAAGTTCAATTAATAAAGCATAAGGAGAATCAAGGCTGCTCCATTACAATTGTTTTACAGTTCAAGATGCAGAAGAACCTCAAAAGGATGATAAGTGTTCATGGTGCCCATAGAAGTTGGCATTCTGGGAGTCTGAAGATGTAGCAAATGAGATTCACCATTTCATTTCAGCAAAACAAAAAACATTATCGATTGGAACAGCAAGCTCACAGCAAGAGAGCCAAAATTATCTCAGTCAACTGTACATAAACAACAAAGTGAATCACAATGAATCTTCATCCTTAAAACTCAAGCACATCTCAAGAGACCTACGCAACTGAGTTTAGAACTTGCCTGCTGCAGACTGACAAGTACATTATCAAAACCCCTACAGATAAAACAGACCAATTGTAAAGATGAAGCTCATTCTTACAGTTACAGCTCATTCTTACATTCTGGCTGTTTTTACACACTTTCACTGTATCTTTTTAAAAATGAAGTTCATTTTGATTGATCGGAAAAATATCATGGGTCTACCAATTATTAAACTAAAATTCTTGAGTGTAATTAAAAAACAAGCAAAAGTGAAGGGTTAATTTCATCTGAGCCTGATCTACAGCATCTAAATGAAGAAAACAAAATGTGTGAATTCTTTGATATTGCTACTTAGCAAGAATGGGATAAATAAACAAGACTGACCACCTTCTTTTACGTAGCAAATGGACCATCTGTGGAATTAAACTATTAGCAAATAATTCAATGACAACTGTCATTACACAAACTTTCAAGAACACTTGGTGGAATCAAATGACTACATGACAGATCTCTCAAAATATGAACATAGGGTTGTTGTTAAATTGTTAACCATTATGCTTATAACATTCAAAAGCAGTGGGAAGAAGTCTATAGAGGGTCTGTCCCTCTAGCAAGCACAGTTACCATGTAGGTGCAGTGATTTTAAGAGGCACAGCCCCTTGTTTTTCTTGTGAAAAATTAGCTAATTTGTCTGTCTGCAGTCAGTAAAAAAATAAGAGACATTTGATACAAAGCTGAAGTTTCACATAAGTGGAGAAGAAAGCTAGCAATTAAAGCACTGAACATTAGAGTGCTACTCTGAGAAAGATGGAGCTGTGCTGCAATGATTGCTTTTTGCCATACTCACTTTACATACATAGTTTTATAGCAATAACGCTGCCCTGGGATAACCAACATGCCCACTGGCAAGTCCCTTGACATGATGTTAAGGGAGTTTGAATGCTATGACTGGTCCCTGCTAGTGCTAACAGCAGGAAAGCATCTGATGTTTTCCTGTGATGACTCTATGTAGAATTCATGTCACATTCAATTTGAAAGTTTTGCTGTTACTCAAAATTTCATTTTTGTGGATAAGAGAACATGATAATAATAATTAGAATGTTAGAGGACAGTTTAACATCTTTCAAGTTTTCTTTTAATTAAGCAGCTCTGTGCTTTGACGAATTTGTAATATTACACATATTTCATAAGCAGAGACAGGGATCTGCAACTCTGTGGAGTTACATGAACTGTTGACATCCTGGATGAGCACATGCATATATTGGCAGAAGTAGCTACTTTGTTTGAAATCATTCCCCACGCTTCTTAGGTTATTCCTACTCCTTTTTTCCCCCTGCACCTTATTCGTTGATCGGAGACAGTCTCATATGAATGCAGTATCTAGTATCTGACCCCGAAAGAGGAGGGGCGCATAGCCGGCAATGGAAGGGAAAGGACCTCTATCCATCCCCCGTCTCCCTCACATTCACTCACTCCCTCACTCTCTCTTCACACTCTCAACATTGATCCATCCAAGCCATGCCACGCCATGCCATGCGGGCCTCCCTCTCTTCTCCTCCTCCTCCCCTTCCTCCCTCCCTAAAAATAGCTCTTCCCTCTTTTTCCTATGTACTCCTTCCTTCGCACCTATCCATGAAAAACACACACACCATCACTAACAGATCCGCAATCACGGACAGCCCCCCTTCTTTCTCATTCCACGGTTCAACGCTCCTACGCGGTCCTCTTCCATCTATTAATCAAGAAAGTACCATTTGATAGGGTGAACCAGAAACAAAACTTTTTGCTTGTAAAATGGTATCTCCGCCTTGCTTTGCTTTGGAGAACCGCAGCACGTGACCTATATTTGGGAATCTTTCCAAAGACATTCTCCAATGTAAACGTCATGAGGTCCTCGAACTGGATTATCACAATTTATGAATGAAGCACTTTTCAGATCTGTAAGTGCCAAAAAACTGGGAAAAGGGTGATACATACCGTCAGGACTTGGAAACGAATCAAACAATGGAAAAGAATCGAAAAATACGTGCGAAAAAAAGAAAAATCAAGGAATCAGTAATTATACGCTAAGAATGAATGGAGCACGGGAGAAAAGTTAACATAATAATTAATACATGAAATATTTAAAAAATGCCAATGTAAATAACCGGCTAACGTAGACTTTACTTGACGTTGGCATCGAATGCCCAGGCAAGCATCTCCTTTTCTTTGTAGGGGAAGCGGGAAAACGGGAGGAGTTGGCCGGCCTCCAGAGTGGACGGCGGAGGGGGGTAGCCACGGGGGGGGGGGGGGGGGGGGGGTCCCGACGAACAGGGGGGTACCAGGAAGGGAAAGGGAAAGGGAGTGGGGGAGGTGGAGGAAGAGAAGAGGAAGAGCAGGGAGGACGGGGGGGGGGGGAAGGAGAGTGAGTGATGGAGCTCTGCGAGGAGCGCGCCATTGGCCTCAGATCTCCCCGATGACGTCAGCAAGGCAACCGCAGTGTTCCCCTCATCCCTTATTCTCTCTCTCTCTCTCTATCCCCTATATCCCTCTTCCCTCTATCCTATCCCGTCTCCCTCTCTCGACCTCCCTTCTCCCATCTCCCCCCCCCCCCCCCCCCCCCCCCCCCCCCCTCCCTCCCCCCCCCCCCCCCCCCCCCCCCGCCCCCCCCCTCCCCCCCCCCCCCCCCCCCCCCCGTGCGAATCGATAGAAAGAGAGGGAGAGAAGAGGGCGCTACTCACGAAAGGCTGACATTACACCCGGCAAGTCTTCTTTCCTCCTTGGAAAATATCTCTTCTCTCATCGGAATCCCCCTTCCATGCATGATAGCTAGGTTTCGTAAATTGCAGTGGGATAAAGAGAGTGGGGGGGGGGGGATGACTCGCCAATGTAATACAGAATACCCATCCCCGGGATTTTCTGCGGGGAAATTGATGGCACAAAATTAATCGATTTTTCCCCTTTCGCTTAGGTTCCCTAGTTACTTCCTTGAATCATCTCCTGCCTTTTGAAAGAAGAGGTTTGTGTACTTTATGGAGTCATGCCGCCTTACCTGGAGTCGGAGCCCCAATGCATGGCGTAGATTTTGGCCAGATGGCCTCGGAGGGTGCGTCGGGTGCGCATCTGGATCCGACCGATTCCCTCAATGGTGGCCGTTGCCTGGGCCAAATTTGTATCACAGGCCGCTTTCCGAGCATCCTGCCAAACCAACATGAAACAATCACATCCCAACCTTCCAATCCCCGTGAAGGGAGTCTAGAACTCTAAATTTTTCCATGGAAACCTTGACCCTAGTGCGACCCCAAGCGGTCACGGGTCCACATCTTAGGGAAGCAGAATTTTTCAAAATTTTAGTCCTGTTGAAATTTCCAAACAGAGGAGCCTCATCAAATGCTCAATTCCTGATATTTATTTTGTTTCTGCATCATTCGTTATTTTTCTCCAATTCCTACTATGTCCCATTGACAGAGATATGTGGAACAAGGGGTTGGGAAAGATGTAACTTGGCCATCTGTCGGAAACAGGTGATAAATGTGCTGAGCTGATTAAATGCTACATGCATATGGGCCACTACACTAGCAATCTGGCAATAATGAGCAAACAGAGAACTGCTTTACCTCTTAGCATCACTTAAATGTGATTTGAAATTAATATTTCCAATTTAAAATTATTAAATGGGAAAATCATCCTAGCATCTGCAGTTCAACTTAACCCTATGTGTTATGCGTTTCATAACGCATTGTTGATGTGTTATGAAACACAATAGTTTTGAGCGTCTGCCGTTTAGCGGACGGCGCCGCCGCCCCTCCAGCGCATCGCAACATCACTGGTGCTGTCCAGGCTGCTAGCTGACTACGAGCTGTATCTCGGTGTTGATTCGGCTGTTTTTGAGGGAGGTTGTATTGCCAAAACAAAGGAAACAAAAAATAGAAAATTAAAAAAATTTTGGAAGCAGAAAGTGTGAACCTGAAGGTCAGAAAAATAGTATGCTGTTGTAGTGATTGTTTTATAGACATAGGGCAACTTTTCAAGTTTTTTCTTACGAGTTGATTGGCAAAAGGATGACTTTACAGTGGTGTGTTTGAAAACACCTCTGAAATTGAAGGCTGCCAAAGGCTGTTCAGAAGCTATAAAATGATGTTGACAGTTCTAGATGATTCTTGTGACAGTTTCAAGCTCACTCATGCATATCTATAACTTGGAATCGATTGTAATTGAAAATTACATTTTCAGGTGGGATATGGACATGATCTGTTTTTAAGTATAGTATATATGGAAAGTTACTTTATGTTTTAAAATTGGAATGTAACTTTATTATTGTAATTTTTGGTGTTGAAGAATTTTTTTTTTATCAAAAGAAAAATAATTCAATGGGGTTTTATGAAATCATTTGTTTCTTTGCTGTAACCCTCCATGGTGGCAAAGTAGAATCTTCGACATAAATCGACGAATTGACGTGCACAAATAACTGCATGGTATGAAGTGTGGAGGTAGAGAAGATAGGAAGTTTCATCCAAAACATTCTCCTTCTACCACTACCTCTGGACCATGACGAAGAGCTACAATATGAGGTGTGGAGGCCCTCCATCATGGTTCAGAGGTGGTGGCAGAAGGAAAATGTTTTGAATTCAACTGCTGAGCAGCTATTTATGCATGGTTTTGAATATTCAATTGTTTCACCATACGGGGTTAATGCAAACAAAGCAATAAAGTCATGAAACCTCATTGAATTCTGTTTCTTTTGAACCATTGTTCTAGTCCAAGAATTACAAAATCTATTAACATTTTAATGCTTAAAATGTAAAGTCAATATGTGCTTCAACAGTAATCAGAACTGCTATTGGCAGTTCCAATTGAAGTAGACTTGCTGTTTTCTGAGTTTCTGAAGCAAAATATACAGGTGTACTTCAGAACAAACATGGAGTGTTTTCCTCTTGTTCTTTCCCGTTCAGTCACAGAGGTGTGAAACACACGCCTGGTTCAACCAGTACCCAGCATGCAAAAATCTGGAAAACATTTTCAGGTGTTCCTTGGCAACATTTAGGACATGTGAAACCTAAAACCACTAAAAAAAATTATTTTAAATAATTCATGACACATAGGGCTAAAGCACGAATTATGTAATCTGTAGGATGCACAATTCATGAAAAGCTGACAGAAGGAAACAAATAATAATAAAACAAAAATAGGTTAACAGGAAGTTGAAACACTGGAAAACGTGAAATTACATGTTTTATATTCCCCATACCAAGTTACAGGAAAAGCAGTCAATCTAATAGTAGCAAGGCAAAAGTTGAAGGCCTCAGGTACCACAAAGAGCCACAAAATGCAGCTTGTCAGGTACTTTGACAGATTCTGGGGAAGAAAGTCGCAAGTCACAAGTCATCATCAATCAGTCACAAGTATCTTTTTTAATGTTCTAGCTTTGCCCTCTAGATCCCCCAGAAGCATGACATTGTAAATAATTGGCTCAGATGACTCAGAAAAACCCTCCTCCAACCAAACGACAAATATCACAACCAAGATTTTGAAAGACAGTATTTCAAAATAAAACTATCAGGAGTATCATAGTTTATAAACTTCTTTCACACATATGACATCATCAATTTGGGGAAGCAAGGATATTTGGAAGAAGACCCAAGGCAAGCCAGAAGATAAACCTCCTATCCAACCCATTCAGGTCTACTATTGTCAAGGCTACTCAGTACTTTACTTACTGAATGCAAAGTTCACCAGGGGAAGCAGACTGAATATGGCAAAATCATCAATATATATTATTCTTTCACAATTTAGAAGCCATCTGCCCAGTACATGATGCTGATTGCCTTAGAGAAAAAGAATAGTTGTTTCATGAGATCCTTTGGACCAAGCAAAGAACACAACATTGAAGAGTGAGTTCCATAGGGTTCCTGTTCTATGAAGGTACACCTAGACTAATCCCATATTGGATTACCCAATTGCAGAAAGAATGCATTTATGAAGACTGATGCCCTCATGTTACATGAGAAGGTTTTAATGGGAGAAAGATGAGAAGGTTTTAATGGGAAGAAGACCAAAAGCATTCTTGGAATGGCAAGAGGAAAGTAAAGATACCAGTAAAACACAGCAGCACAAGCATTATGGGGTTGGAGAGGATTGATGCAAAAATTATTCAGGTTATTGATGTTACATATTCTGATAAAGTGTGTCTGAATCCTACATAGAAGCAACTGATGGTTGAATGGATGGAGCACAGTGGAAAGGCAATCTATATGATGGGGTGGAGAGTGATTTTGTACAATCAGGTGGCAGAGGTAGAAGAAAAAAGGGTCTTATTAAATTATAAGAGTATCAAGGGCAGTGGACTTGGCAATGTTATGAATATGAACATCACTAATGAACTGACTACTGGAGGTGTCATCAGGAAGTTCAAAGAATGGCACGTCTCCCAAGGCGAGATGGAATGTGGAGACAATTTCTGTCAGGAAGTAAAGACTGAATTTATTTGGATAGAAAGATATGTTACATTAGGGTGCTTGTTTTGGCATTGCTTCCTTGTTCCTTTGAAGTGAGGCTATGACCTGCTCCTATGGGACATTCAGCTGATGGATTCCATGGATGGTGGCATCATCTGCTAACAAGCACACTTTGTTTTCCAACAGGGAAACACTTTCACTGCTGTTCACACCCTATGGCATGTTCAGTATGATTAACCTCCACTGCTGTGCTTGGCAAGGAAAAGGTTGATTGGGCATTTATTTCTAATTCAAACATTGGGCAAAAGAAAGTCAAATGTGACAGGTATATAAGGTATACCATACCCATGTTAGGGGATGCCTTCTTGCATTTTTACAACATAAGGCTTCAGGTACATTTGCATATGGTGCTCATACTGCAGCTAATGATATTTGACAATTATCAATGTCAGGGTTTGTCACAGGAATATGCTATCACCATGTTTCTTCACTGAAGTGAGGTTAGCCAGGAAACTGCCACAATAAGTGACTTTTCATCTCAAAAAGCATTATTTTATTGAGACTTTTATATCTGGGGTCAATGTGACCCATACCAGTTACACAATGAAAAAAATAAACCAAGGATACCAGTTGAGGATTAAGGAGAGCCTCAAATCTTCCTCTGCTTTTTCATGAGATAACTGGCCTCTTTCCCCAAATGGTTGGTGGCAGCATATGACTAACCCTGACATATCATAATTGTCAAATAATATTAATTGCAAAAGGAGCACCATATGTAAATGCACCTGAAGCTGCACATAATGAAAATGCAATGAGAAGACATTCCCCCTAACATAGGTATGGTATACCTTGTGTATTAGTCACATTTGACTTTCCTTATGTTGAACATGCTTTTCCCTAAAATGTGACATCCACCACAGTGCCTCATTTGACTTTCCCTTTTTGCATTTGACTTTCTTATCACCACATCTGACTTAGAAAACCTATAAATTCTTAGCAGTCAAAGGGTTAATAAATAAAAGATAGATGCCTTGGCAGACATTGTCCTAAGGACTGCCTGACTGGATTGCTGAGGGTGTCAAGATATTAAAACCATCCAGAACAATAGGCTGGTGGTCTGACAAAACCCACAGATGAGGGAAGGAGGAGATGAGGTGATAAGGGGGCTACATAGCCTATACCAAATCCCTGAAGCTAGCACAGGAATCTTCAGTGTCATCACTCAAAACCTTTAGGTTTGTCAAATGATGACCTTGTCATCAGAAGAAAGGGTTTCAAACCATTCAGAGATTAGGTAACTGAGGGCTGACTTGTGTAAGCAAATACCATACCATATTCATCAGGCTGCTTTCCTTGAGGCAGACCTTCTAACAGAATTCATGAGGGAATCAATAGTTTTACCAACTAGGGGTCGCAGGAACAAGGGATTGATTGTCTGAATTTGAGTGATACCCTGGGGGCCTCTCCCCAGGGTACCTGATCCATCTTTTAGCACATCAAGCAAATTTCCAAATAGATGGGGAAAGAGCTAAATGAAAGACTAAGACATTATAACTGGGAAAGGGACAGATTTTGGATGCTCAAACCTGCAGGACACAGAGGGAACAAATGGATTGTGGGCTTAATATAGAAGCAAACTGTTGGTCAAGCAGTTTAACATCACAACTCTACCACTGTGCATGCTTTGTTTCACCAGTAGCCAACCTCTCTAGGGATCAATGGCGTATTGGGCCTTGGCTCATCTGTGTGTCCCTATGGCTACATGTTTGTATCTCTGGTACTCCTGGAAATCTGTATCAACGCCTATAAATGCCTGTAAATTGGGAAAGCTAATTTCTCAGTTTTAACTGGACCTGTTCATATTTGCTGTTGTACTAGGGTTGTGAGTTCTGTCAAATTTTTACTTTTTGGGTAGCATGTGTAGACCTATTGCATGTCTTCCTTTTCTTGAGACTTGCAACTACATCACAGTTGAGTTTCAGAAAACTGACCAAGGGGATAATCACTACATGAAGACAGAATTCATCAAAATCAGCTTATTGGTAGACATAAACAATTGGGAAAAGTTGGGGCTGAACCAATTGATAGGTAATTTGACTGGTCAATATTTATTTATTTATTTATTTATGACCAATGAGGCCTACAAGAGGTAGGCTTCATGATCACAAACGACCATATTGACCCATCAATAATCCACTCCTAGTTGAAGCACTGCAATCACTTTTGACATCAACTAAAGTATGATCAGATAAGCCAGGAGTTGAGACCAATACAGCAAACTGTTCATGGCATGTTGTAAAAACTGTAACAATCTAACTAGTAACCAGCTCCCAAGCAGTTCGAGTGTGGCTCGTGGTGAAATACTCTAAAATACTCTACACTCCAGAGCCTGCATATGCGTTCTCAAGATTCCAAAGTCGAGAGTCATGTATGTCAAAAGTGGTGTTCCTTGTGGATCACGGCCGTATGAAGACTTAGTTTTGCGGCTCGTAAGGTCAGGAAGTTTGGCCACCCCTGGTGTAGACCATCCCTTACAAAGGAATGAGATACTTTTTGAATACTCCGCCTTCAAAACGGTGGACTTCTTTCTAATCATCGATACTCCCAAAAGTCATTGCGTTCTTGGGCAGGGGGAGGAAGGCCCTGCTTAGACTAGTACCTGCCTGTGCTGGCGAACCCATGCAAACCCGAAACATACTCGGGTTAAGCGCTAGCAGAAGCCTTTTGAATGCTACTTAGCTATGATCTTCACGGATGCAAGCCCTGATAACACGCAACCCTATGGAATCGGATGGGCAACTAAATATTGAGAGCTGGCATGGAAAACAGCCTCGGATAGTATACACTAGTCTGGAAAGGCGCCGATATAACAAGATTCCCTTCACAACCCCCCCCCCCCAAAAAAAAACACCTTTCACGAACGAAAACTCAACAAATCAGTCATGAAATCTTGCAGTTAAATTCAAGAGAGGTAGGAGGAGTAGTAGTAAAAAGGCTTTTCCTAGAGTTTCTCAATAATAACAAGAGCAGAAAACTGGATTCTGTGAACGGTCCACACATGGTTCCAAGAGGCTGGTGCCGGAAAAAGGAAAAGATGAGAAAGACGACGAGGACGACAGGACGACGACGTGGACGAGGTGAGAGAGTGAGTGAGAGAGAGACACAGAGAGAGAAGCGTCTCCATGGAGACCGACACTTCTCTTCATGAACTCTGACATTTCCAGCATGGGGGGGGGGGGGGGGGGGGGGGGAGGGANGGGCGGGGCGGGGGGGGGGGGGGGGGGGGGGGGGGGGGGGGGGAGAGAGAAGAAAGGGAAGGAGCGATCGGAGTACGGGGAAGGGGGAATTCCCTATAGACGGCGCATGACTGGAATATCCCTTTCTTCCACTTCAATGTGGAAGGGGGCAGTACTACCGGCGTATTCTCATTACAGAATTATCTAGCTCTGTACGGAGGAGGGGGAAGAGGACACTCAAGGTAGATTGACGTCAGTGAGCACAATGGGGGTTTCTTCCAATCCGGCTAATCGTTTCCCATTAATTCCTATTCTGGATCTCCGCTCATGATGACATCGATTCAGAATGCCTTTCCCTCATTTTACTCCACGTATCAAGTCAAAATTCTGCTCCCTATACTCACGACTAGTTCATTGCTATGTGTCCTGCGATATCTTGTGCGACGTCATTACTATCGAGAGTCGAAAAAGCATCTCACGCAGCCGAGGAAACTTGGCAATGCTAAAGAGGAGGATGGTTGAGAGAGAGAGATCAAAGAACGATCATGATGGGGAAGGGGAGAGAAAACCTCGTCCTCATCATTAGGGGCTTTTGAGAATGGATCTCCTCATTTCTCCCGAGGGTGGCACCCTGCCAAAAACAGGGCAGTTCCAATGATATCATCATCGTGTTTGCTTTCGTCTACCAATTTCCCTCTCCAGGGTGGGTCAAACTCATTCACTTCCAGGCTAATGAAAGAAGAAATCCAGCTGGTAGGTCAAGCTGTTTTCACCAACCTACCCGTGCACAAAACGATCAAATACCACGAAGATAAGGGAGAGAAAAATGGAGGAAGGAAAAGGAAATACATTATCGACCGTGTACCGATGCCAATATTACTCTCCCTGGTGTTCTTTCTACTCGTTTGGCCAACTCCATCTCATCCTCTCCCCTTTCCATTCTACTTCTGCTCCTCCTCCAATGAATCATTATGGGAACAAGAGCTATAGATAGAAAACTCACTCTGATTTTGTTTTTGAGCGTCTCAGCTTCCTGCCGGAGGGCATCTAGTTCGTTCATCTCGAGGAATCACGACACCTGGAAAAAATTATATATAGCCAAACATCAAAATCACCATTACACCCAGTCCTCATGCGAAAAGACGGCGATGGATTATAAATTCGATGTCACACCATTGTTCATAAATGGAGGCCATTTATGGACAATGTTTAAAGAGAGGCACGGAACCCTTGAACTCCATGAAATACTCATATGAACACAGGCTCGTTCATTCCTTCACAGGTCGCCCGGAGGAGCGAATAAAAAAAAAAAGGAAAGTACCGGAACTACTAGAAATCTAGAAGCAAGAAAGAGCGATAAACAAGAACGGAGATACATATCGAACCGAAAGTCGGGAGAGAGGTCACGAAAACACGATGCGATATCAAGAAGATATTCACCATGTAAGTTAGAGATGTCACCGGTTGCTGGTACTCCATCCGAAGCCTGAAGCGCCAATTCGATCTTAGTATAATGTATTCACAGTTACTAGGTTAAGTCCAAAACCGATAGCAGTTCACCATGACAAAAGCAGGAGTCAGTGGTGGAACGTACAAATTTTTACAATCAGTTGTCAGTGAGAAACATTACATCCAAATCTCTGGGCCTTGATCGGATGTTTCATGCAGTTCGATCTCCCACTTCCGTCTTTTTTTTAACTTAAACCAAAAATGTTTTCCCATTTTTCTGTAACTGAATCTATTTCGGGTGAGATTCAACTGTGAGCTAGCACCTCTGACATCCACTATAATGCTATCAAATGAGTCACGGAGAGTGATCAACAAGCGAGCTCAGGTATCACCCCCTCGTTCCTGCAGCACTTATCTTTAGTGGAGTTGGAAAATAAAACAGTAGAACTGCTGAAGTTTCGAAAGACAGAGGGTCTGCAAGCCTCTCGAGGGAAAAATACCCTTTAGCACCCAACACAATTGTCCTTAAGTAACTAATCCGTATCAACTTTCTACGATTGTTTCATGAGACTCCTCCAAGGAGGCTTCGTAACGAATATGTGTTCATGTATTTCTATTCAGGGGCTGGGTGACGTACCATTATGCTTGATCGTAGCGAGATAATCTAAGATAAGAACCCCCAACCCTAGCAGTCTCACATCGCACAATCAATGTATCATCCGGCATGATGATCAATGAGAACAGTGTTCGCCAAATGATTCATTAAAAGTCTTGGGCTTAGTCACAGCACAGTGCTAAGCATTGAGGCAATGTTTGTTCAATGGATAAAACATTCTGCAATGCACTGGGCTAGGAAAAATTAATATTCGATACAGTCGCAGGAACAAGATTCAATTAACGTCTTCGATGTTTTAGCTTTTTGGTACGCATTCAGTATGTCTTTCCCCATTCGAGAAAGAAGTCCCACGGTCCCAGAGCCTGTGACAGCTAAAATCACCCCCTTCCCCCACCCAACATGTCCAACAAGATACATCCGCAGCATGACGATAGAGATCAGTAGTGATGCGGCGATGGAGGAGGGGCAGGTAGGACAGGGGGCCATCGATCGAACCTCACACACTGGACAGAAATAGACCCCCTGGTTTGTATATTATGGAAAAACGTGCCCTCCTCTTTTTCTCTAAGGGAGACAGAGCTCCTCTATACTTTCACGGGAGGCAAAATGCGTCACTCTCCAATCCGACAGCCTCTTTCCTTTATTCCCCGGCGTGACGTCAGCCTATTATCGCCAATTGAGTCCACGAGACTCCATGATGAGTGACGACAGCTTCCTTCCGTTCTCATGATAACTGAAGTGCAGTCAGTGTTCCCGAAAGCCAGTTCCCTAGCAAATGACATCCGGGTTTCTGAATGCCCACGAATGCTTAAAACAAAGATTTCTATAGCGCGAGGTGGGCACGTGAGAAACATGAGAAACACTAATTCAGCAGGCCTAGGCCCTCTTTAGTCTCAAGCGGACACCAACAAGAGTATTTAAAAAAAATTATGCATGAATAAATAGAAATAAGAGCATTGCTATATATTAACTCTGAAATAAAGACATGTGACGATAACTGCTGCCGTGTTAAGCTGAACATGACATGGAGAAGTGAAACTGTCCTGCAGCCCAAATGGGGAAATAGGACCTAGTGAAAAGTGGTTAAAACTACCCAGTCTATTCTCTCAAACAATAAACTCAATGCTTACAGCCATGACTTATTTTCTGATTGAGAACCTCCTTTGATCATGACGTCAGGAAAAAAAAAATGCTTACATGCTATTTATGGAAGACGAGAATGAAGCACTGCCAGCCGGTTTCATCGTCGTAACAATACGAGTTCCTGAGCCAAAACGTTCGAGAAGGAAATATGGATGGAAAAATGCCACTTGTGTTCCTTAAATCCAACATTTATCAAACTCATGCAGAAGCTCTTTGGTGGGTATTGTATACCTGGGAGATGGGCAGATAGAATCCTTCCACGCTGACATGCATCCGAAACCGTTCTGGAAATTCGCAGACTGAATATCGACGTATTCTCGAATTTTCCTTACGTTCACTCTCACACGGAAACCGATGATAAACGGAAAAGGCACGGACGGTGCCACACTCAACACATCCTCAGCATTTTCTTTCTCCTTCCTCTTCCCTACACAACAGACGAACCCAGCACGCGCTAAACCAACCTCCCCTAGGAGGCCATTCCTCACCGCAAGGATTTCATGGTGAAATTGAAAATTTCCTTCCTCTGAAGCACTACCACAGTCACGTGCTTTCTGCTATTCGCCAATGGCCAGAATTCACAGAGACTAAAACAGAGGCATAGGAGAACTGAAGCAGACCGGAGTGCAGTGGACTCTCTGGCAGAGATGGAGGGTCTCGACTCGCCCTATATCGATCCGGGCAGCCGGTTGGGCGAGTCCATTCGGTTACGAGTCCGGGGAGGACGGGACCCGGCTTCTCGCCCTCACACGCCCCAGGAAAGGGGGGGGGGGGGGGGGGAGAGGAAACTCAACCCTGGTTATGCCCTTTTCACGTCTCTTGTTACTATGAACAGTTACATTGCAATCAACGAATGACTGGTATCTATTCACACTCCGTATCTCCGGTCAATACATACAGTACATTTCATACCTTCTAGAGAGAGCTTCAAATTAATGAAAGACTATTCAACTTCAGAAATTCAAGAACGGGCACTTTCGAATTTCTAAACAAAAATATAAAAAGCAGACATGCCCACCATTGGCGAACGTTACACTTCATCACTCTCTTACAGGGGAGATGGGGTGTAACATCCGTGAGGGAGAACAGGGAGGGCAGGCAGCTGTCCCTCTTTTGTGGATGGCAAAACGGGGTTCATCCTCAAGGCCTAGAGGGTTATCTAAACCCTCTCACACCTGGCCAGTGGGGAGTATCAAAATGGCTAAGGCTAAGGTAAGCCCTTTGGTTCTACATCCACGTGCATTTTTGAACATTCCCTCTGCCACAGCTAATACGAATGAGGGCATAAAAAAAAGCTCGCAATGGAAGACACCCCCTACTTCAATCGGTCAAACAAGCTATCTCATATGATTAAAACAAGTCCACCGAGTACTCCCATCTCTGCCACATCTTTAAAGAGCTTTACTTTGTGCAGCAGCTATGGCTGCCTCATGATAGTTCTTGCCTCAGCTGGATTGAAAATTCTGGAGAAAAAAATTACTTATCTCCACCGTGGAGCTCCAAGTTCTTGCTACAGACCGGCCATGTTGAAACCAGCTTGACCAACACTTAACTCATTAACCTAGTGAGTCTACCCCATCCCTTCTGTAAAAGATAGATTCCCCGAAGAGTTACTTTAGTTCTCTTTCCCATTCTCTGCTTCAATGCGACACAGATTCGAAAAGATGCTTCCCTCTACATGTATCAGAGGGGAGCATTTTCTTTTCGAATGGTAAACCCGACGACGCGCCCCTAAGGGTGAGATGTCAGGGTTACCATTCGAATGCCTAGATTATGCCTATCCAAACAAAATCATTCACAACACAAAACCGAGAGGGAGTGTTCCCTACAGTCACAGTCTGTTCTCAAGCTACTGAATGGACGACCTATTATTATACCGGAAGGATAGGTAACGTAACGCAAGACCCTTTTCTCTAATTGCGTAATTAAATCGCGATGAAGACTCCCGTATGAGATGTAGACCTTGACACACCAGATCATGGGCTGACGTGACGTACATTAAAGGTTAAATTCAGACTTAGGCAAATGTGATGATATAAATCACCTATGGCAGTGTTTCTCAACCGGTGGGCCCCGGGGGTGGAACGTGACAAGTATCCGTAAATTTAAAAATAATTAAAAGTTAGATGAACAACAAGTATATATAGCTTTTAAGTCAGTAGTGGGCCTTGGATCGCTCTGCAGTTGTTGAGGTAGGCCAACGATCGAAAAAGTTGAGAATCACTGATCTACTGGCACCTTTCTCACCATCAGAATTGTGCCAGGTCTAAAAGTCTACTTATGCACGCCATTTAAAAATGTATAAAGGGTACTACATTCGCTATAGTATAGTTCACTCGGAGAACGGATTAACACATCTACAGGGCTGTTATTAGCAGAGGTTCTTACTGGGAAGGTTTTACTCGAATACATTTTATCTGCGGCCGAATCAGCCTTTGCATGGAACAGAAATTTGCCAAAATAAACTCTACATGAGGCCAACTGCAAGTTGAATTACTATTTATATCCCAACTTTTGGAAAACAATTTTTGTCCAAAAGAAAATTATTGGAATTCAATATCCATTATTGGTATCTATTTCATCGCTGATGTCATATAATTGATGCATTAAACTTCTACCCAGGAAACTCGTGAAGTTGTGCCTCACTACTGATCTACCCATCCCGAAGGTGCAGTTTCTTCGTGTTGATGGAATGAAGCATTAGGCCTGAGCCTTCTACACGTTTTAAAAATGGGAAAATCCAATTTAGTTTGTGCCACACCGGGTCAATATTGAATTCTTTCACTTTCAGTGCAGAAAAGATACCGTGACGTAAAGTTCATGTATTCAGCAAATATATATGCTTCACAAGATACTATGGGGTAATCTGACGTGGTCCACTGCAGTGTCTTACTTATAACCACGCAAAAAAAGCAGCTTCCTTATTGTGCCATGTCTGACGAGAATTTTAAAATTGCCTTTTTTTTATATAGAGAACATCTGCGGGCATTTTTCCTCGACAAATTTGACCAGGTTTTCAAGGAATCTTGCCCACTCCGCAACCATGAAGCTTTGTATATCAGGCATCATTCTTAACATCAATCTGTTCCAGTGGAATACAGCACGGGCGGATCCAGTGTGTTGACTCACCGGAACATTCTTAAATGACCTGATAAGATATAATACCATTCAAGCATAGATAAGACAAGAATCCTCTTTTATCACGAGTGATATACGGGCATAGGTAATGTACTTTTTTGCCTCACACCATGAAACATTTACATGCCAATGCTAATCACGAACTCTGGATGATGAAGGATTCAAGAGAAAAACTATAATTAGCAACAAAAAAGAAATCTGATGGGCTCTGAACAACGAATTGCCCGAAGTTTTACCACACTGCTAGACGCCAAAGATGGCTAAAACCCCAAACATTATATTATAAGGATTATCTTGAATATAAAAAAGCCAGGATTTGGAATTAAATTTTATTCTATTTATTCTGTCACCAAATAATGAAATTTGATTTCTAATTCGATTTGACTCACATGTGAACAACATTTGAAAATTGTTACATTTTGTTCATGAACTTTCTGCTTTTATTTTGCCTCAGCAATGAACTAGTAGTACATAGTAGTAGTAGTGAGAAGTATATGGGATAGGGGATTGTACCTGAATCTGTGAGTGCTGCACCTGCCAAAATCTGTAAATTTCTAAGAAACTTAATGAAAAAAAGTTACTCTATTTGAATTTGACTTGCTCAGTTTCCAAAAATTTTATGTAGAGGTATGAAGTCACAAAAATGTATTCGGCTAAAATGATCAGTTTGTGAGTTCATTCCAGGATTTATTATCAAGAAAAACATGATTGGATTTGACACGAGTCTCAGAAAAGTGATTCTGCCATCTCTATAAGGATGGTATATTTGACATGGGTCTTGGTCTCTGTAGTAAAACCTGAGTCTTTTGACCCACATCATCTAAAGTGGAATGGAGGTCACACAGGATCATCTTATGGAAGCCACAGAAACCTGGAATTAGTCTGGGTCTTGGATGTGCAGTGTCTGTCTAGCAGCATGATACCCACCCAGTGGTGGATACAGGGGGGGGGGCGGTGGGGGCAACCGCCCCCCCATGGCCAGGTTAGCATTTGATTTATTTATTCAAAATAGCATCTGCATTAAATTTTATTGGAGTCAGTGAAATCGATACTCAAGTTCTTACCCCAGAAGAAAAATAAAAAAAGGAGAAAGGACGAGGAATGGTGGTAGGCGGGGGGGGGGTAGGAACTTCGGAACCACCCCCATGAAAAATTTCTGCATCTGCCCCTGTACCCACCCATCAATGCTGCCCTGGCCCTTCCATTTTGTCAAAACCACCCCCACCATTGTTCCCCATCATCTTTCTTCTCCATCTCCTCTCCCCCATAACTCTATCCCTCCTAAAACAAGGTATGACACTTTCTCCAGGTGTATGTCTATTTCTTCCTGGTTAAGCCTTTGGAGGAGTAAATTGTCTCTCCTACTTTGTTGGTATGTTACTGGCTGCATAACTAAGACCACAATCTTCTCTTAAGAGCCAGTCCTCTATGCTTCTTACATCTTGTAAATGGGTAATGATGCATGTAAGGTCAAGCAATAGTGTATGAAAGGAATAACCAACTCAAAGGGGTAATCATTAAGAAAACAGAATGTATAGACAGAGACCTTTACAGGGTGCAAACTAACACTACCCTGATATCCACAGGGTCTGCATAAGGAAAGCTGACTATGTCAATGGACAGTCGGTCAGGAACTATTCCTCCAAGGGTCTTGATATTTTATCACTTTGAGCCCTGGCAATTTGAATGCACTATGGGCATAGGAAATCATATGACAGCTGCAGGGCTCAAAGTGTTAACATTTTACTTGAGCGAAAGTATTAGTGAGGGACCAAAAGGAAAACTGGTCTATTTGCTATTAGTTTCTCAATTTCCAGAGGGAGTGGTATGGGTAGAAGAATCACTTTTCACTTACATGAATCTCACAAATGATTACCTTCAATGAAAGGAAAAGCGTTTCCATGCATTACACCAAATATCAGATGGACCATTTTTTATTTCAGTCCTTCACTTTATCCAAGTGAATATCATCTCCATCCATGAAATTTCAGTTTGGGCATCCAAAACCTTCCAGTGGACCTTTCCTGAAATTTTGAAATCATTTTTGCTTTCCTGTTGGACTAGTGATGTTCCAACAATTGGCCCAGTCCGTAGAGCAACATTGCACTTTACTTTGTACCTTCCACATTTGTGTGTTGATTTTTGTCAACTCTTACACAGTGTTGGACAATTCTGATGCCTCTGTGAGCATCCAGAGTATGCTGGCTTCAAGCAAGAAATTTGTGGATGAGTTTTATTCCTACTGGAAAAAAGTCACCTTTTGAAAATGATAATAGTTCCCTATTGTGAACTGGTACAAAGGAGAATAGGTTTATATAGGGTTTCATAGGTGATACCTTGATATAAGCTTATGACAGGATTTCATGTCTGTGTGGTTGGTCCTGAACAATTACTTTTACACATGTGCACCATGTTGGTGTATCTCTTACTTCCCATTTGGGTGAAATTTTAAAGATCTCTAAGAAACACATAATCTCTGCTCAGTGCTAATCTCATGAAAACAGC